CCCTCAGTTCCCTTTCCAGCACCATGTCAGCCTGCATGTCACCATGTCCTGCCATAATAATGGACTAAACTTTCTGAACTATAAGCTATCCCCAATTAAATGTTTTCCTTTATAAGTGCTGCATGGTCATGGTGTCTCTTCACAGCAATAGAAACCTTAACTAAGATAGAAGTTGGCACTGGATATTGCTGCCATAGACCTGAACATGTTTTTGTTTGGAGGAATTTGAACTTTGGTACTTTGGGTTAGGAAAACAGTGGAATGCTTCAAGTGCTGCTTAATGAGCCACACTAATAGAAACATGGAAGACAGTGGTGCTGAGTATGATTTGAACTGTGGGGCCTGGCTCAAGAGTAGGAGAAGAATTTTAGTATGTTGCTTAGAGATAGTTATTGTGGTATTTTGGTGAAGAATGTGGCTGTTTTTTTTGCCCTTGACTGAAAAGTTTGCCTGAGGCTAAAGTGAAGAGTTTTGGATTAATTCTGTTGGCAGAGGAAATCTCAAAACAGCCTAGTATAGAATCTATCCTGTAGTTTTTTAGTGTTAACCCTAATGAAGATTTATAATTAAAAGGGGCAAGCTGAGAAAGGAAAAGTACAAAAAGAAAAGGAGCATCAGGAAGTGGAATAGAGCTAAGTCCTTGTTCAAGGAGATAAATAGATTAGGAAATGGAATAAAGGCAGTGGTGACCACAAGACAAGATCCCATCCAGCTAAGTTTTCAATTCATGAAAAGGAATTAAAGAAAAGCCTAGAGATGTGTGTGGTGGTGCATGCCTTTAATCCCAGCACTGAGAATACAGAGGCAGGTGGATCTCTGAGTTTGAGGCCAGCCTGGTTTACAGATCAAGATTCAGGACAATCAAGCTTAGGCAGTGAAGGAAATCACAGAAAACAGAAAATTGGTGAAGATGTAATTGAATGAGGGGGACCATGTTTCAGTCCCAGTAAGCAGCAGAATTTAGCAACTTCAGCCACATTCTGGCTTTAAGGATAGAAGAAAGGGTTATGGAATATTCCTCTGTGACTAAGGAAAGTCACTGAGTCCAGGTAGGTGTCAGGGTTGTCCCTGAATAGAGGACTAGGAAGACCATTGCATGAAGCTGTGAAAGTAAAGCCTGAATTGTCTTGGAGACCCCAAGATGTTGGGGATGCCAGAGCTAAGGGATACCTGCCAAGGAGAGCTGCTAATGGAGTGGAATGATACTGGACTAAACCTCTGAACTGTAAGCTAGCCTCAATTAAGCCAAGCCAAGGTCAGGCTTTCATAATTAAGAATAAGCCTCCATGTGTGGTGTGATTTATTTGGGAGCTGGGTGACAAAGAATGAAAGGCAACCAAAGAATGCTAAGAGCAGGGAAGTAAGTCTTCCCCAGGGAAGGAACACACAAATTGATTATCCATTAGCAAATGGTTGTTGTTGTTTGTTTTTACTCTTTGGGGAGACCTTGCCACCCAGCTCCTAAATAAATCACACCACACATGGAGGCTTATTCTTAATTATGAAAGCCTGGCCTTAGCTTGGCTTATTTTTTTGCCAGCTTTCCTTAACATAACTTATTTTGACTACCTTTTGCCTCTGGGCTTTTCCCATTCTCTTACTTCTGTAAATTTACTCTTACTCGGTGGCTTGATGTGTAGCTAGGTGGCTTGGCCCCTGGAGTCCTCCTCCTCTGGCTGCGAGATCTCTCCTCCCAGATTTCTCCTTCTATATATTCTCTCTGCTTGCCAGCCCCACTTATCCTTTCTACTGCCTTGTTATTGGCCAGTTCTTTATTAGACCATCAGGTGTTTTAGACAGGCACAGTAACACAGCTTCACAGAGTTGAACAAATGCAACATAAGCAAAAGTAACATACCTTAAAATAATATTCTACTCCAAGTAGTCAGTTCTTAAAACAAATATACAAGTAACATTATATGAACATATTGAACTTAGGTATTTAGGAATATATATATATATATATATATATATATATATATATATATGTATGTATATATACACATATACACAAACATGCATACAAACATTCATATATACATGTAATAACAATGAATGAAAATAGAGGTCATGAATTGGAAAAAAGAGTAAGGAGAGGTATCTGGGAGGTTTGGAGGGAAGGGAAAGGGAAAGGGGTTAATGTTGTAATAATATTATCTCTAAAAAAAAGATTTATTACTAAGAACTTAAAGATGTCTTCCTGGAACACAGAATTTTATTTTCTGAGTATGGAACCCAATTTTTAAAGTTTAATAAACCAAATGGAATAAAGATAGGTATGACACCCCCCCCAGAAAAAAGGATCATTGTCCATGATCAAGAAGGCTTCAAGAAGGAATGCAAGAATAAGCCTACACACACACACACACACACACACACACACACACACACACACACACACACACAAAATGTGATACAATGTAATACTCTGGACAGAAATCACATGATCATCAATTGATGCCTCTGACAAAGTTCAGCACAATCTACATTATAAAAACACTCAAAAATCTGAAATAGAAAGAATCAACCACAGCTTAAGGGCAAATATGACAAAACTATAGCTAATATTACACTAAATAGGGAAAAACTTAAAGTATTTCCACTACAGGAAGAGAAGGATATCCTCTTCCTCTACTCTTCTTCTTAGCTAGTGCAGTAAGATTAAATAAATAATGCCGAGCGGTGGTGCACGCCTTTAATCCCAGCACTCGGGAGGCAGAGGCAGGTGGATCCCTGTGAGTTCGAGGCCAGCCTGGGCTATAGAGTGAGTTCCAGGAAAGGTGCCCAAGCTACACAGAGAAACCCTGTCTCGAAAAAACAAACAAACAAACAAACAAACAAACAAAGATTAAACAAATAAAGGGTGCAAATAAGAAAGCAAGAAGTCAGTGGCTCTATTGGAAGAAAATATGATCCTGTACATAAGAATCTAAAAACTAACATAAAATTTCTAAAACTGATAAAACACTTTTAGCAAATATGAGGATATAAAAATCAACATATATAAATAAGTAATTTTTCTCTGTGTACAAACAATGAACATAGTGAGGAAGAATGAGCAAAACAATTCCATTCACAATGGTTCAAATATTACATTGGAAAAAAACCTAAATAAGAAAGTTAAAGATCTCTATAGCGAAAAATTTCAAACAGCAGAGATGGAAAGATCCCCCAGGCTCATGGATTAGTACAATTAATACAATAAAAATGGTTATATCTACGAAAGAAATCTATAGATGACATGCAATCCCTATCAAAATTCAAATGACATTGCATATATGTACAAAATTCTCAAAGAACATATAAAATAAGATTCAAAAAGTCCAATGAAGCTGCCTCAGGAGGCAGAGGCAGGCAGATCTCTGAGTTCAAGGCAGCTTGGTCTACAGACTGAGTTCCAGGACAGCCAGGGCTATGCAGAGAAAACCTGCCTCAAAAAAAAAAAAAAATGCAACGACATCTGTGATGTAGCTTCAGGTAGCAGCACCAATAAAAGGAGGTGTGTGGAGGAAGGAAGATAATCTGCCTGTGCTCACTTGGCCTGTCCCTTGCTGCCTGTTGCCCCTGCTGTTGATTCCTTTGCTGCTATTAGAACCAACATTTCCAGGCTTCTGTCATTGCCTGAGGACCAATAGCCCCCAGGAACACTCCACATGTTCTTTGTCAGATGGGACTACTGAGACACTTTGCCCATGTGACTACGTAACTCCTGAGCTATTGTCCTCTCCAGTGTGAGAGAGCCACAATAGACTACTTAATTGAAGAGGCACCCAGCCTCGAGGACAGAACAAACTACCTTGTTCTCAGTTTCTCAAGTATGAGACAACTATTGTTACTATTTCAAAGTAAGTTGATTTAATAAGTTTTTTTTTTTAAACCATGCACGTGGTTACTATTGGTTCAGTTCCTCTAGAGAACCTTAATATAACAGCTGTCATAGAACTAGAAAAAAACAATTGTAAAATTAATATGGACACACAAAAGACACTAAATACCCAAAGCAATTTTGAGCAAAAAGAACAATGCTAGCATTATCACAATGTCTGGTTTTTAACTCCTGCCACACAGATATATTAACAGAACCAGCATGGTATTGGTTCAAATTAGATAAGCAGAACAATAGAAAAGAACAGAACAGAACTCATACATAATTAGGCCCATGTAGCTTTAGCAACCTGATTTTTTTACAAAGATGCCCAGACCATAAAATAGAGAAAAACAGTCTGTTCAAAAAATGTTACTGAGAGAACCGGATTATGCACTCATAAAAGTACAATGCCAAAATGGGCCAAGCACTTACTGTTGTTAACTTTTAAAAATAAAAGTATATTGAAATTAAAACAAACAAACACAAAGAGTGAAACTGGATCCCTAAACTCTACACAGAATTTAATAGAAGATTCAAAGTAATGCCAATAGAGGAGAAAATTGGGAAAACACAAAAATACAGGCATCAGCAAGAATTTCCTAACAAGGACTCCAGTAGTCCAGGAAGCAGAAGCAAGAACAGAGAACTAGGATTACGTGTAATTAAAACTTATGAGTAATTGCACTACAAAGCAAACAATGAGCTGAGTGGAGTCACAGCCTATAGAATGTGTCAATATTTGACAGAAGATTAATATCTAGAATATCAAAAGAACCACTACTCCAAATCAAAACAACTCAATTACTAAGTAAGCCGATGAAAGAGACATTTCTCAAGAGGGAGTAAGAGTGGGCAATAAACATGAAAAATGTTCAACATCAACATAAGGAAATTCAAACTATAGAGATTCTATCTCACCTCAGAAATGCTGCCAAGGTGTGGGGAAAGGGAACCTTATATGCTGATGGTGGCAATACAAATTAGTCTAGCCAATATTGGAACTGTTCTCGATTTAAAAAAAAAACTTTCATGTCTATAAGTTACATTTGCATTCTATATTAATATTTAAGTTTATCTCTTACTTTACATTTATCTGAAAGAAAGGTCCCCAAAACTAGAAAAGAAAGCTTACCATCTTTATCAGCAGTTTCTCGAGGCTTTGATTTTAAAGTGAAGATCTTCCGAAGCTTACAGTTAGCAGAGACAATAATTCCGTCCAACGACTGGAAAACTGCTCCCTTGAATATCTCACTGGTGAATGCAACCAAGTCAATGCACAGATTGCACCACTAAGAACAGGGAACAGAAGCAAGTTAGGAACTTCCACGGCACGTAAGAAACTCACAGCATGCCTGGAGTTAAGGTGTCATCTGAAGCCTCTGCCTCGGCTCCAGAGTGCTCCTTCTGTTTGACTTAAGTTTCCTTAAAAATGGCCCTGATTCTCCTCTACAAATCACCAATCTGGACTTTACACTGGCTAGCTGACTATCATGCTCCCATCTTGAGACACCATGGCTGCTCTGGGAAATAGCTCTCGTCTGTGGGTACCAGTGTGAAGTTAAAGGCAGGTGCTTTACGACACTTAAAGCTTGAACATCAAAGACAAGTAACCTGTTGTTTTTTCACGGGGATTAATTTGATGACAATTATCTATTTTAGTTTTGATTTTTAAAAGGTAGGGATTAAATTAGAAGCTTGGTTAAATGGTACCCAGTACTATCTACTTACAACCAATTAACCTATTGTACAGAAATAGATTCTTCTAAAGGATTTGTAATTATGCTGGGTGTGTGCCAATTTTGAAGTACTCTTGCAGGTACTAATTCCAGGCTATTAAACAATTAGATCCCTCAGTACTTCATCAAATGAATTCTATGGTCTGACTGGATAAAGAAAGAGGAAAAATAACCATTAGTGAGAGATTGACATATTTAAGATTGTAGGATAAAAACAGAAAAATAATTTTTGAAATTGAAACCAAAGTAGAATTAAAATTCCATGTGCTTCTCTTAAATATTAGGTTCTTCAATTATTTTTAGAAATACAGTTTATAAATACAGCTTTTTCTAGGAGGATGTTGATTTTAATATGAAGCTGAGCCTATGGTGTCTCAGTAGCAGATCAGTTAGAGACTGGAGTGGGTTACCAATTACACCAAAAAGATTATTTTTTTATTTGTAGATGACTCAACAGTAGAGTTACATTCCTAGGCCATGAGAATACTATGGTCTCTTGGGTAGTATAGAGCCTGGAGTAGTTAGCTAGGGAGGATGTGGGATTAAGTATAGCTGGGTAATGATAATCAGCTGGATTGTGGGATTTTGGGGAGGATTCCTGGGTGGGGCATCAAACCAGTGAGACCAAGTTTTAAAGGCTTAGGAAGCAACCTCAGATTCTCTACAAGGCAAATGTTTCTGAAGTTCTGTAAATAATAATGTGCAGGGCACTGGGAAGTTAAGTTTGGGTCATCCTTGATGTAGGAATATTCTGAAGACAGAGGAGGTCTTTTGGGAATGAGGTGGGGCTGTGTTAGGATAAAGATCACTGAGACACAGCATGGTCTTTTATCTGTCAGTCACACAAGCATCAAGTGAGAAGGCTGACATGGAAGTCATTAGAAGACAAGGAACAAATCCAATAGATAGGACATCAGGTGGAACCTGATGGCCTCTGAAGTCCAGATCACAGGGAATGAGGTGTGGATTTCCTTTATCCATAATATATTATATAAGCACTATTGTTCTAAAAGACTTAACATGCCCCAGTTCTAGCTAACTAGTTCAAGCCACCAAGAATGCCATTGATTCTTCTTATTCATGCTTGCTCTGGATATTCTGAGACTTTTCTGCTCCCATGTGATTCTTCTGAGTTTTATTTTCTGTGATGATGTCATTGGAGTAGACAAGGAATCTATAGATTGCCTTCAGTGATACATTTTCACTGTATTAATTCTGTTGATCCAGAAGCATGGGAGGTTTTTCCATATTCTAGCATCTTCTTTGATTTCTTCAGTGTTTTAGAATATTTTCATTTTCGAGGAAGCTTTCACTTCCTAGGTTAGGTTTATTTCTAGGTGCTGTTCACTCCAAGGTAGGAGGGAGCCAGAATGAGTGAGGAGGATCCCACAGCTTGTGAGTTAGCAGAGGCAGCTCTCTAGGGAGATGGTTAAGTGTTACAACTCCACTTCATTCCAGGAAGAAAGAGGAATATAAGGGCTGGGGACAGTGGCAGGGGCATCACCTAATTAGTATTAAGAGGCATGCTCCTATCAAAAGGCTCCTAGTATGTGTAGCAAGCGAGCCTTCCAGCAGAGATCTCTGTCAGGGTTCGAGCTAACAATAAGTCACACATCTGGTTTTAGAGACATTACAGACAGCTTTCAGATAAGGTCAGTCCTCCAGGCCGAGGGACATTCTCCAGATAAAGGCAGTTTGAGAGCAAGAAGCCTTGCTGGGGAGGGAGGGAGTTTCCTATTGCCAAGCTTAGAGAAAAAGCTTAGGCTTATGGTAGACTGTGACCTCAACCAGTCAGCAATATATCCCAACATATAGGTATATTTAAAAAGTGGTTGTGAATAGATTCTTTTCTTGATTTGTTTCTCATCATGCTTGCTATTGGTATACAGGAAACTACTGACTTTTGTCTATCTGTTTTATATTCTATTACTTTGCTGAATGTGTTTATGAGTTTTACATTTTCTGGTGGACTCTTTAGGGGCTTGTGGTGAGATATTGTGTACCCCAATAAAACTTATCTGGAGATCAGAGGACACAGTCAGCCACTTGATTAGACACAGAGGTCAGACAGTGGTGGCACACACCCTTAATCCTACCATTCAGGAGGCAGAGATCTGTCTGGATCTCTGTGAATTCAATGGGAACAGAGCCAGGCATGGTGGCACACACTTTTAATCCCAGCACTTGGGATCTCATGTCTTTGCTTGGGGAGGACACACGCCTTTAATCCCAGGAAGTAATATGGCAGGACACAGAAAGGTATATAAAGTGAGGAAACAGGAAGTCTTCTCTTTAGACTGATTTAGTAGAGGTAAGAACTCCTGGCTGGCTTGCTCTGCTCTTTGATCATTCAGCTTTCACCTCAATATCTGGCTCCAGGTTTTTATTTATTTTTTTTTATTAAGACCTTTTAAGATTTGTGTCACATGGTCTCTTACAAATAGGATTATATAATATGCAAAAAGGTAGTTTCTTTTTCATATCTCTTTTTCCCTTTCCCTTATCACTCTAATCCTTCAAGCACAATATGGAACAAGAGTGGAGGAGGATAATCTTGTCTCATTTCTAATTTTAGTGGAATTTTAAAGTTTTTCTTTTACTTATAATAATGTTGGCTATGGATTTGTCATAAATGTACCCTTTATTATATTATATTTATGTATGTTCCTCCTAGTTGAACTTTCTTTAGACTTTCATGCTGTAGAGATGAATCATTTTGTCAAATGTCTTTCCTGCATCTACTGATTGGTATGTTGTAATGGCTAGTTTTATGTCAAGTTGACACAAGTTAGAGTCATTTCTGGAGAGGGAACCTTAATTGAGAAAATTTCCCCATCAGACTGGCCTGTGGTGCATTTTCTTGACTGATGACTGATGCAGGGGGGGCCCAGTTCACTGCAGGGTGAGCCACTCCTGGGCAGGTGGTCCTGGGTTCTATGAGAAAGCAGGCTGAGTGAGTCAGTAAATGGCACTCTTCCACGGCCTTAGCATCAGTTCCTGCCTCCAGGTTCCTGCCATGAGATTCTGCTCTGACTTCTCTGAATAATAGACTTTAAGTTGTAAGATGAAGTAAACGCTTTCCTCCCCAAGCTGCTTCTGGTCATGCTGTTTTATCACAGCAGCAACCCTAACACATATGCCTTGTACTGCTCTTGCATCTCTGGAAGGAAGCCTGGGCATAGTGAATGATCTTATTGATGAGTAGTTGTAATTCAGCCCGTACATGTTTTATTGAGAAGTTCTGCCACTGTGTTTATATCAGTAGAATAGCTTATAATCATAATTGTTGTATTCTTATCTGCTTTTGGTATGGGTAATACTAGTTTTATAAAATTAGTTTGATAGCAAGCTTTCCTTTCTGTTGAATGGAACAGTTTGAGGAGCACTGGTTGTACTTCATCTAAAAAGATGTGGAAGAATCTGAATTCTGGGAGAGGCTGCTTTTAGTTTACAGATTTTTTTTTTATTACCTGTGTGAGCACAGGTTCAGGACTTGTCCCTGTCCAGACCCTTGGGTGTCAATGTGTGGTCCTTCATGTAAGTGCACATGTGATTGGGCTTGTCCCTTGCATGAGCAGAGGTAAAAGACAATTTCTGTGTGGTTTACTTCAATATAAGGCTAAGACCAGATTTCCATCTGTGGAACACTGCATGGTCTTTATTCCCCTCTATTATTATTCCCCATCTCCCTTCTATTTCTAGGTATTCTATAGCACAGAGATCAGATCAGAGTCACGTGCAACTTGCTCTGGGTTCACAAGATGTGCAGGGAAGGAACTTGGCTTCCATAGGTTCCTAGACATCAACAGCACAGGTCTTTTAAAAATGGTTTTTTGCTGTGCCAGTCTGAGTGCTGAGTATTTTTCTGGTATGCATATAGTATATGGGCCAAAGATTGCACTGTTGGATTGCAGATTTGCTCAATGACATATTCAAGGTTGGTTCTCACATATTTTCCCATCTTCCTTTTCTCCCCTCTTCTCTCTCTTTGAAACAAGGTCTTATACAGCTAAGGCTGACCTCAAACCTATTATGTAGGCACTTAGGAATTTGAACTTCTGATCCTCCTCCACCTCCTGACAGCTTGCAGTCTAGGTGTGCATTAGCATGTCCCATTTCCTGTAGTTATGGGGACTGAGCCCAGGGTTTCCTGCACACAAACAAGTACTCTATCAACTGAACTCCAGCTCCAGTCCTTGATGGTGCTTCTGAGACTATGATTCACCCTCCATGCTCAGGGCTCCAAGCTTTCTCTTTAGTGTAGCTGCCATGCAAATGACTTTTGTCTTTTTTATACACTCTCTTGTTTAACTTACAAAAGTATGGTGCAAACTTTCTGAGATGCTACTTTTCTCTCAAGTTGGGGTTCAACCCTCTGCAGTTGTATGCATTAGGAAGTGGAGGCGGAGCACTCCAGCTGTGACTGAGACTCTGGAAGGGTCTTTGGCTCTTCGCTGGTGAGCAGTGCTTTTCAGCTGTTACCATATTGAAGAGTAGCTGCTTTCCAACTCCTACTCTCTGAGGAGTACTAGAAGTCCTTGCTTGGAAGTCCT